CAGGGCTGTGCTGCTGGAGTGGGATCATCCCTGTCATGACAGCTCCTGCTTTTTCCAGGTATAGGTGAGATGGGGTCTCAAACCTGGGAGTAGAGAGCAGGCACAGAGGTTCTTCTGCTGGAAGTGTAGACAGGACAATAGGTGTTCACCAGGAGGGGAAGGAAGAAATTGGGGTGATGGATGCAAACTGGGCACTGGCCAGCAGAAGCTGTGAGGAGTGCAGGAGGAAGGACGGGCTGACTGCCACGGTGGTGGGCTGTATGGGAAGAGTGGCTCAACTGGTGGGACCAGGAGACAGGAGGGCAGAGAAGGGATCCTGGAGGAGAGGGGAGGATAGCAAGAAGGATTTCTGAGTGTGGGAAGGGGGATATGAAGGCACTGGGGTACATGGTGGTGAGAAGTTAACAGGGGTGGGGGGATATGGGGCTTCCTGGACAAAAGTGTTGGTGTTGGATTAGATGGACAGAGGGATGAAGGAAAGCACAGTACATAAATTACTGCAACTATTTTTTTTGACTCATGCCAAGTCTTCATTGTGTGGACAGCTATTTGGCATACTTAGGTTCATGTGCAGAGGTGCTAGGTTCTTGCAGCAGTTGCTTTGAATGTACCTAATTCACTTTTAAAGCTGAGTCCTTCAAAAAATCAGGTTGTAAGTACTTTATACTGGGTGTCTAGAGCGGAGAGGGTTGTTTCACTTTAGTCTGTCTGCATAAATATTCTGTCTGGCACATGTCTGATATGAAATGAGAATAATGTCACCCAGACGTAAGTGAAGATAAGCTAGTTGAAAGTGTGACCCATCTAGATAATACTCTTTGTAATTCAGATGCCTGTTAGTAACTGTATCTTCAGAGCAGTGTTTGAATAGCTGCTGTACAGACAGCCCAGGAAGAGCTGCCATCAGCTAGCCTGCACACCAGTCGAGGCCAGAGTCCTGCAGAATTCAGTAGCCTCAAGTCATGTAATTAGAGAGTGAAGCAAATTGTGTGTCCATGCAGGGTGCCTTGATTTTGGCAATTCTTGATGTTGTGTGCTTCATTTTGCAGTATAAATCATGTTCCTTCGATGTTTTTTTTTTTCTTGAAAGTTGTACGGAATAATTTTTATTATTGTTATAAATAGTTCTGCAGAGGTGGGAAGGCAAATCATGCTCAATAACTTCAGGGGTTGTATTCAACCAGTAAAAGGGCTACTACCTTCCCCTACATTTCAAATACTGGAGGGCAGGAGAGATGTTACAGAGGGCAGCCAGAACCAAATCCTCTGTCACTGCTGGTCTCCCACCCAACATGTGGCTGCTGTGCCAGGACACTCCCTGGAACTTGGACCAAAGGATGGAGCCTGCCTAGGGGCTGCTCAGAGTACCATGAAGGGAGCATTTAATGCCATGCAAGTAATTTCAGAGCACAGAGGTAAGATCTGCTTCTGCCATTGCTGCAGGTATTGGCATTCATCATCACTGGTACTGGTCATCATACAGAAGGCAGTGGTACCCACCTGAAATAACAAGGCTTGGGAACCCCTGCCACTGAAAACAGCTGCAGACAAAGACAGCTCATAAATAGCAAACAATGTGTTTCCCCCACTGAGAATGAGTTCCAGAAGCAGCTCAGAGGAAACTAGCACCATTTCTTCAGGGTGTTTTTCAGGAGTGCTTTGGGCTTTTCTCAGGCCGGAGGTGAGATCCGTGCTCATGGAATGAGCACCCCAAGGTGAGGTGCGCTGATGCCGTTTCCATCTGGTGATCCCATTGTGTTCTGCTTGCCCAGGCTGTGGGTCTCCATTGTGTCTGCCTACATGGGGGCTGATGCTGATTTCCGCCGTTCACACTTGTTTCTTTGCATCTGAGAGTGCTGTTGAGAAGTTTCCAGAGAAAAGCTTGGCCCCTGTTTCCAATGTAATGCAGAGTTGTACCGGCTGCCGGGGACAAGTCGGAAACACTGGCAAGATAGCAGGCATCCTCAGGAAGCAAATCCTATCAGAAAGCACTGATGTCATTGGCAAACAAAACAAATGAGGGCTGGAAAAACAAACTGTTTTGCAGCGTTGTTGATCTTCCCTCAAATTAGAAGCTCTGCACAGCCTTTACTCTGTGGTCCAGACTGACAGATTATTTACGTGGAATGCTGCATCAATGGTTTTGTTACTGCTGCCAATCCAATCCCTTTGATTTTATTCTTTAGGTTTATTTATCTAAGGCAGGGTGAGGTTAATGTCCCGGAACTCTAGCCAGATTCAGAAAGCTGGCCAGCATCCTTGTAGATGATGGGTGCTGACATGGTTGATGTCCTGCAATCTTTGATCAGGCAGGACTTCTGGCTTCCCTGCCCCTGATCAGGTCCAGTGTAGGAGATGCTACTTCCCCATGACTTCTGCACAGCTCTTTGAGGCTGTGTCCTGACAATGTCCCAGCTAGTGGCCACCTGCCACCACTGCTGCTGGCTCCTTGGAGCTTGTACCATGAGCACGGAGCAGGATTCTCCCCCTTGCTTGTTCCCATTGCAGTGTTGCGATGGGCATAGTGATGGCATCCTTCTCCCAGATGGGCCTCCCCACCACACATAACACCATGGGGTTTCCCCTTCCACACATGGGGAGTTTGCAGAGCAGGAAGAGACAGTCATACCAGTTCCTCATGGCACACTTCCACTTGTTGCTCCTCACCACTGCTGCCAAAAGAAGGATCAGAGGAAACCCCATGGGCTGGAGGTTTCTCGGTTTCTCACCCACGCACCTTTGCCTCACTGATGGCTGCAGTGGGCGGCAGAGAGGGGGTTAAACTCTTCTCCCAGCCAGCCCTCTAACAGCAGGAAAAGCACATTTCTTCCTTGCACCTGTGAGTGGTGATGGGTTTTCTGCTGTTTATGGTAGTCACATTGCATCTTTCTCCTGTTAGAAGCTGAACAGCTCTAGCAGCCAGCTGTTCCCTCTGCTCTGCTCATACCTGGTTCCTTGCACAGTCTGGGCAGGGGGTGGGTGGAAAATCAGCTTTTTAGGTCAGCATTCAAAAATAACCCACAAAGCCTTCCCTTCCTTCCATGAGGGAAGGGTCCCACCCCTCCCTGCTTTCTGCCTGCTTGTACTTACTGCTGGCTCATCTATTCAGAGCTCTTACTGAGAATTTGGAGTTCTGTTCTAGCAGGGGCTAATATCTTCAGCACAGAGCTTTATTTCTCAATTTTTAAAGGGTGTGTAGTTTACATGTGTGAAAAGGGAGGAGATTCATTAAGCTCTAGGGACAAACGGGTTTAGGTGTTCAGATGGCTCTCAGGGTGGAAAGCCACTTTTGCAGTGTTCCAGGTTAAATTGTGGCTCTGCATAACAACTGTGCCTGCTTTTGTGCACTGTGAGCTCTCCTTGGGTGAGTGCCATGGCCACTGTGGGCAGTGCAGCAGCAGCTGGAGAGTGCCTGGGTACCTGGAGCTGCACCAGGCTGGCCCAGAGCAGCTGGTCAGACTGGCTCCACAGCTAGCACAGCATCCAGGAGTCAAGGTGGGACAGAAAATGGATGGGGCATGGGATAGGGAGAAAGTGGCCATAATACATAGAATGGTGCAGCACAGAAACTGGTTTATATAGCATGCCAACCCATCCACTTCTGTGTATATGTATCCTGAGAGATTTAGTACTAATAAACATGGAACAGCCATCTCAGTAGTTGCTCCATTTCAAAGAAATCCTTGTGAACAGTAGTGAATAGACTTCTCCCTTTCTTCATGCCCAAGAAGAGTATTAAAGACCAGTGTATAAAATGCACTTTTGTGTCATGATCTTTGCAGAGACAGTCGCCTTTTAAGCAGCTGCCAGTGCAGGGCTCATGATCCTCAGGTGGACCTGCTACTACTGAGGACACACAGTACTCACTAGATGTGTTAAATTAATTATTCGTGGAGGGAAAATAATCTTGTGGTTTTATTTTCATAAATCTATTTCTGTGGGTTTTACATTTTTATCCGCCGTTTTAAAATTTATTTCTTTTGTTAACACAGTTCAAACAGGGAGGAGTATATCAGAGTGGGTCCATTGTTTTGTACAACCTTCAGAACAGAACGTTACCTTCCACACATTTTATAACTCTGGAAGAATGGATATTCTATAATTGCCATTATAAGCTGTGAGAGTGGTATAGACAATAGAGACTGTTTTCAGCCAGCTAATTCAGTTTGCTGGATCTTTGCTCTAGTCAGTTCAGAATTAAGGTCTGTCACTGGGGAAGAAAAATCTTGACCATCCTGTGTCTTGCAGATCCTTGAGATGCAATACACATGGGCATCACGTGTTGTTTACAGTCATGTTACACAATGGAAGTTTGCTGTAAAAACAGCATACTTGAAATCTTAGGTTTTGTCTTATTCTGGCTGAGGATTGCAGCAGGCCAACACAGGGGGAAAAGAAGTAATCTGTGAAAAAGACTGTTTAGCTGGGGTATCGTATGATATTACCTGGGTTTCTCCTGTGGTTGCATAATTCATTTTTGTTCTTATGCATATTTTGTCCTTGTTCATGTGAACATTTTTTTAAATTGGAATATGCAGAGCTGTAGGGAGATACTTATTGCTTTGTAATCCACCCCCTCCTCCTGCAGCAACTTAAAACATAATACAGAGCACACCTCTCCATGACTGGAGAAAAACAGTTGTCTAAGGAAATGCCTGCTCAAGCTGTAGGCTTACCTCCAGTGCAAAGTTTTTATTTTGAGGTCGCATTAGTGAAACCTGAAAGCTGCAATCACCAGTGAATTCTTGAGTGAAAGGGACTGAGTCAGCAGCAGCAGCACAGCATCTGCTGCTTGGCTGAGTGCAGGGAGGTGTATTGTCTAGGGAAGGACAGCACATGATTCATCAGCATCTGCATGCACTTTGCTTCATCTATTTTATTAAGAGGGTGAAAAACTGAGTAAGAGATGAGACTTCTAGCTTCAGGAGCCTACCAGCTGATCAAAGGTATCTTTTCTTGTCTAAAGCGGCCTTCTGATTGTTTTTGGTTATGTTTTGTAGTGATGGGTCCAGCTGGAAAGAACTTTCTGATGGCACAGCTGTGAGTGAAACCAGCACAACATGTTCAGTGTTGAAGACCTTCTGATTTCTCATGGATACAAATTGTCAAAAAATCCCTCTGTTTCATACGAGAACAGATATGATGGATACCGGCATGAAATCACAGGGAACAGATCTGCTCAGAGAACAGCACTGAATGGGATTGAAGCAGAATCCAGAGCTGGGGCCTACAGCAAGAAACCTCTGGTGAAAACCAGCTCAAGCAGCACTGAAAGCAGCCATGGGAGCCAAGGGAGGCAAGCAGGTCCTGGTTATCACCATGACCTTCAGGGTTTGTCCACTTTTCATACTTCAGAAGGGGGGTAAGTTTCAGCATCATGCCATGGCTTTGCTTTCTCTTTCTTTTGGTCTTGACAGATGACTAATCACGACCCTAACCCTTAACACCATCTTTCTGTGATCCTTTCCTGCTCCCATCCTAGTAAACATTTCCACTGGATGTCCACATCAAGTGACACATCCATTCACCTTCTTCTGGAAAATGACCTTTGGGAATACTGGGATAATGGGAAGTAGCTGAGTGTAGGAAAATATATTTTACTGATGTGGTCTGTATGAGAAAGGTCTTTCTGATGGACTTAGGAAAGCTTAGTTCTACCACAGGGGGAAAAAATGGGGAAAAAGGTCTTATTTTTCAATTATGTTTTAAAACTGCACCCAGCCTCTTCTGCCACTTTTTTACTGTGGCAGAAGGTTTTACTGTGAATTCAGCCACATGCAACCCTTGGTGGCTTTTCCTACATTCATTGAAGACTCGCTTGTTCTCCTAAGGCTGTTCTTGTGGAGTAAACATGAGAAGGTGCCTGTGCACTTCTTTTGTAAAACAGCTGCAAGCCAGTGGGAGCTCTTGTTGTCACTCCAGAAAAGGTGCTTGTACAGCCGTGGCTTGCCCAACGCCGAGTACGTGCGCAGCGGGGCTGGGGCCGGCCGGGCAGGAAGAGCTGTGTGTACACACCGACGCTCGGCCATTGTTCTGCAGCTATTTGAGGGCTGCAGATGAACAAAGGAAAGGGGCTCGGGCAGGACTGGAAGCCAGCCCAAGTATGACGATGGTTTACGAGGAAAAGCCCCTTCCTCCAGCTCAGTGGGCTTGAAACTGAAAGCAGGGCAAAACACTGTCACCTTGGGAGCTTGTCCTCTTACAAAGACCTTCAGTAACATGTGGCAAAGCCATGTGTCCCCTCACTCCTGGGCTCGTCTGCTCTTTCCCTTCACATCGTTTCCCCTTGTGAGTCTGTTTGCCTGGAGCAGGAATGGCTGCTGGTTGCCAGTTGGGATAATGGGCAGGAAGAGATGTGAGCCCTCTAAAGCAGTCATAGGACATCAAGTCCTGGTGAAGGTCTCCAGGTACAGCCATCTATTCTAAAGGAAGTACAGAACACAGATATAAGGGTAATTGGGAGGTTCCTTTCTGGTGTGTTTTGGATGAAGTAGACTGGACAACAAAAAAAGTGAGGAAAGATACTGAAAAAGAATGAAAGGGAAAAATATTTTGAAGCAGGGGAAGAGAGAGTGCAGTGGTGCTGAAGCTGATGCTCAGTTTAGTGTGGAGAAATACTGTTGTAAAGAAGATCTTGCTGTGCAAGGCTGGAAGCTACCACAGCACTGCTGCTTTGCACCCTGTTAGTCAGAGCCTGTGTGGATGCACAGGGGTTTGGGAGGGCTGCTGCCTCCCTGCTTCCCATTCTTCCTGGTGCATCTGCAGGGGCTCACACATCTGCCCCACATCTTGGATATCTCTGTATCTGTAATTGCTGGCCTTGGCTAAATACAAATAATGCTCTCTAACAGTTTAAATACTCTTCCTAAATGTAAGGGGTGGGACCTGCCAGTCTACAGCATAGTTAAATATTAATCCTGGTTTTTAAGAGTGGCTTTTTCACATAAAATAGGGAACACAACCCTGAAAATGGCTTTGTCACACTTTCATAAATATAGAAATATTTTCTTGCTATTACTGTTACAGCAAACTCTGATTCCCAGTGAGCCTCCTGGGAACTCTCACAAGGCACTAGCAGCTGGAAAACCCTTTGTATTGTCCCTTCCTTGCCATGCCTGGGAGTGTGGAGTATGACACAGCTGTGGCTGGGCTGGTCTGGGAAGGGAGGAAGGAGCTCTCCAGGCTGGATCCAGGAAGCCACAGCCCTGCAGCACCTCGAGTCAGCTCCTGAGCCCCTCCAGGTGCACTCCCCAGTCACAAGGCTGCCGTGTGTGTGAGCTGCTCCAAAGCTGAGGAGAAGATACCTGTGGCTGCCCAGCTGGGCATGCTCAGGCCTGTGACAGGCGGGCCATGGTGATCTCCACCAGAGGTTTTGATCTTGCTGCTTGGTTTCTGGACTGCCCTGGTGAAATTGGCTTCTGGTTCCCAGGCTGGGAAAGTACTGCACACTGCAGGGACCTTGGGCCCAAAGAGAAGATGACCACCCAACAAGATAACTCTCTGGGCATTGCAGGCTTCTTGCCACCATATCCTGGTGCTCCTTTCCCAGTTAGCACAGAGCAGGAGAGGGTCTGAGCAGGCCATGTGTGTCCTTCACAGATGGTGACAGTTTCTCAGCAACTCTGAGCATGGCTTAAGCTGCTTGTCCAGGAAATTACCTACATCTACCTACTCTTGTTTACACCACTGATGTAGAACAAGTCATCTCCCATACACCATGGAAGTGGGTGATGTTGCCAGCTTCATGGCTGCCTTTGCAAGCAGGTTTGCAGGGCTTGTGGTGTTTTGTGATGGCAAGGGATGATGCTGTTGTCTCTGCTTGTTAAGGTTTTTCTCTAATAAAACCTTGTTGAGGAAGGGAGAGGCTTCATAGCCACTGCTCCTGCTGCTTGTGAGGGGAGAGTTGATGCCCCAGTGGAATGAGGAAGTGGTGTTTGGCTCCATCCTGTTGTTCTTCAGGCAAAATGTGAGGGAGCAGATGGTGGGAGGGCTGTCCTGGCTGTCCTTGCTTAACTGAGCATTCAGAGGCCACACAGTAAAGGTTTTGAAGAGGAGACAAATCAAAGAAAATGGGAAAGCTGATCCTGTGGGTGTATAGATGAGAGTTCTCTCTTCACAGGAGAACTCCCTCCTGATTTTGTTCTAAGTAGAGAGAAGAAGCACTTTGCTTAGTTGTTTGTGTGGGAGGAACTTTGTTAGTAACTAGCAAATTTAGTGATAAATAGATATCATCATTAATGAGATCACCTGCTGGAACAAATAGAAAAGTATACTGGTGTTTTCCAATGCTGGGTCTCAGAAGAGTGTATGTAAGGATAGGATCTCAAAATAAAACAGAAGTTGCCAGTGTCCAGAACAGCCCTCTGAAAATTTTTCCACTTTGCTGGCTTTCTTAACAGTGCTTTTGGGCACAAAGGCTGCACCAGTGCCTACAGCTCATGCAGGATGAGCTACTGAGTGCCCAACACCTGCCACTTGCACGCTGGCAGCCAGCAACAGGGACAGACATTGCCTGCATAGCCCTGCAGTGGCCTAATTCTGCAGGGTTTGGACTTCAATGCCTGTGCCACACTCCTTCACTTTTGGCCCCATTATCTGCATCATGTGAGGTCCTGCTGGTCCAGCATCACCCTAGGGGAAAAGGGCAGCTTCAACCCATGGCTCTGAGCAAGACAGCTCAGTGAAATGTGGTCATACAGCCAGTGCAGGTAGACTGATGGCCTCATTTCTTGTAAAGGCCTAAAATTCACAGAAAGCTAGAAATAGTTTTGGGAATTTTAAACCATTTGAATTAAACTAACTTTATATAGAATCAATTCAAAGCAGTTTATGAGAGCAAATGTGATACTCAATAGAAGCAGGCCTGTTACAAAATAGTTTATAATGCTAAAATCCACCTCCTTGATCCCTTGGGACCACTCTGTCCCTTGAACTTAAATCTCCACAGTTGGTCCCATGGGACTGCTCCATCCTTGGTTCCATCCTCCTCCCCAGCTATCAGGCACATGGAAGCTGCTGTGTCCAGGTGTGCATTTCTTTGTGCATCAGCACCAGCACATCCTGGAGCGACACAGAATTGTGTAGTGGCAGAGTCAGAGATGAGCTGCTGTGCAGAGGGGCTGTGAAGTCTCTTTGGTGGTATGTCATGGGCACAAAATACTGCACCATGACTGGTACTCATCATTCAGAGATCTAGCATTGCTGAGGCTGCAGTGAAGCATTTTAAACTCGGAGTGGCTCTTGGAAGTTTCCCCTTCCACCCTTTCATTGACTGCAAGACCCAGAAGGGCCACATGCCCTGGAGGGAGGCACTCTCTGCTGCAGCTGTGGCCACCAGCAGTGTGGTTGTGCTGTGCTCCCCCACTGCCTGCCTGCAGTGCCTGCATGCAGCTGTGCAGGAGCTGCTCTCCATCACTGAGAGTAGACTTCAGGATGGAGCTGCACTGGAGGGTCCTTGGAGTATCCTTTTCCCACACACAGTGCAGTGTCATCTTCAGAAGTTTACAGCGTCCCTGACAGAGCCTGGCTGTGTAGCCACTTCTAGTGCCTTAGCCAGGACTTAGAGAGACAGATACTGTCTGTCCTATGAGTAGATCTTAGGATCAGGTTTAAAATGCTCTAAAAGCCTCCTTCTAAATATCTTTTTTACTGTCATGTGGCAGTGATGACATAGTACAGGTTACATGGCAGTTTTTATCATGTTCTGAAGTTCATTAATGGACCCTAGTTATTAGCCTCTAAAAATAAATTTAGCCTTTTAAACAGCTTTTAATAAATGGAGGAGCTTTCTCTCTTTCTGTTGAAAAGGATTTTGGGTTACTTTGTGTTTGTTGTTTTTTTTTTTTTTTTTTAATGGTGAATTAAGCTTTGCAACATCATGGGAAATCTAAAAATCAGAATTTTTAGGTGCTTTTCTAAGAGATGCTACCTCTTAAGCAGGAATCATCTCAAAGAAGTCTGATAGCCTGTGCTGAGCAAGATGTCAAACTAAATAATTATAATGGTCTCTTCTGATCTTGGAATCTGCGACTGTACTTCCTGCAATTTCTGTAGACCCTTTTGCAATGATGGATAAAATCAATCAAAAAGAGCAACCTGTTCATTTTCTCCTCACTCTTGCTGTATCCTGTTTCTCACTTCATTTTGTAAGCACAGATACAAATGGTGTCACAGTATGGGGAGGAGATGAAAAGGTAGAAGACAGCATTTGCTCAGCTGTATGTTTCCACATGGAAGTGTTGGTTGTTACTACAATCAGCTTCTGATATAGGAGTGTCCTGTTATATTTCATTGATTTATGGAGATGTCTGTTCCTTCTTGGGGTTCAGCAATCAAACTGTATTTTATGCTTCAGAGGCAGAACATTTTGTTCAGAAGTTCAATCTTAATCCAATTGAATTAATATGAACAAGATGCTCCTTATCCCAGTCTGGTTATTAAACTTGTAGACTCATAGGATGAAAATAATATTCATAAAAGAAAAGTGCCATGGATCTGCATGGCTTAATTTTCATTCTAAATTTTGACTTGTATTATGTCTTCACAAACTCTTATTTAACTAGATCATTGTTTTTAGTAAAAAAGAGCCAGATGACACTGTTTATATACCTTGGGGTGGAGGGAAGAGGAAGAAATTCTTGGATTCTATCTACATACTTGTCCTATTTCTGTCAATTTTGATTTTTCTTTCCAGTCTTAGGCTGGTGGCAGTCACATAGTGTAAAGGCAGTTAGTTATATTGTTGGACACCTTACTTACAAGAATAGCAGAATGCAATTCAAGTAGAAAATTAATTATTTATATAGAAGGGTGCCAATTTTCTTCTGCAGACATGTATAAAATAGTTTACACTCTGTTCAGAACAGACAATGAACCTATTATGTTCATGTAAATCTGTGTTCTGAATTTCTAATCCACAATGTCTAATGTCTTTCATATTTCACTGATAGACTCTTTTATTTAAGAATTTTATACTTCTTTTGAAGTATTTTACATTTTAAATATTGATTCTGTCTTATCCAGAACTGTGTTGATACATCAGCATTGTTGTGACATGTGTCATTTAATCCAAAGCACCCAGAAGAAATTTGTTCCCTCAGAATGATGAACAAGAATCAATTCAGGAACTGACATGTTTAATTTCAGCACTTTTACCAGGATGCAAATCATGTTTCTTACAGACTATATCTTATGAAATCCTACCATACAGACACCTACCTGTTCTCCCTGCCTCTGCTCCTTGGAATCCTATTAAACTTGAATACCACAGTAATCTCCTTACATCTATAGATTTTGATTTAGCAGGATACAGAAGTAATTTAAGATGGTCACTTCTGGTTTTAGAATGGCATCTTTGAATCAGAGGCTGGTCTGGGTTGGAAGGGAACTTCAAGATCATCTAGTTCCAAGCCCCCTGCTGTGAGCACGGAGTTTTCTACTGTCCATCAAGGAGAGCTGTGCATGTTTGCACAGCAGGTAACTGTGCATTTGTCGCTCTTTCTAACATCTTTGCATAGCTAACAACATGTCAGAAGAGCTTCTTTCCCTTCCTTTACCCATGTTAATTGACTGACTTTTAAATCTTCTCATTAAAATTGCCATCTGGTTGCAAATAGATTACACAAAACCCCATTGGCATAACTCATCATTTGACCTCCTAATGGCTTTACCCATGGTAGAAAGAACAGGCACCTGTGCACACTGCCTCTGACACTGTTTTTTTTTTTCCAGGGTTTATGACAGGCCTCATTTAGCATGGTCTTCCCAGCCTAAGACTGATAAAGATCTCGCCTACTGGAGAAGACGAGGACAGGACTTCAGTGTGCTGCTGGGCTATTCCCAGAAGGCCAGTGTGGAGATGAAAGGCCTGGCTGCAGCCCCAGGGGCACCCCGGCACCCCAAGGAGAATCAGCTGAAGGTGGGGACAGGTGCAGGGTATGTCAAAAGAAGCGGCTTGCAGGAAAGCTGTGAAGTGCCCAGCGACTGCAAATGGCAAAGTCTGGAAGTAGAGAGCTGGAGTCAGCCAAAAAGGGTAGGGAGGCAAATGTCTGAGGGTGACAGGGAGAAGCTGCTTCAAGAGCTGTATTCGCTGACCCTGGGAGACAACGTACTCAGCAGCCACAGCAGGGGGAAATCGCAGTCGTTGCCAAGGGTCCTTTCACCAGAGAGCATGAGGTGTGTGGAAATGCCCTCCCTGACCAACAGTAACAACTCGCTCAGCGTCACTAAAACCCCTTCCTATCCCCCAAACAGACTGAGTGTGGAACCAGCCAAGCACCATGGAACAGGAGGCAGTTTTCTTCCTCTGGTGAAGCCCAAGTATGGGAGACCTCTCAAGCCTCCATCCTATGAACTGCAGCGGCAGACTAGGGCACCTGCAGAAACCGTGGGTTTCCAGGACCACTACCAGAAAGAGGAACCTGTCTCCTACTTAGCCAAAGTCAATGAGCCAAGGCAAGATGCTGGCATTCCAGAATCTGGTTTGGAGCCCCCAGTGTACGTACCTCCTCCTTCTTACAAATCCCCACCGCACCAACACGTGACCCCACATTCCCCCAGTGAAGTGCCTAACACCAACACGTGCGCCAGCAGTGATCCACAGGGTCCTGCAGAGCGGGTTGTCCCCTGCCAACGACCAGCAATGAATACTTTGGAAGTGGGGGGTGACCCTTGCAAAGACAACCATTTTCCTTATGAGAAGCAAAGCCATGCAAGGCGCCCTGCTGACCACCTGCGTTCTGTTCAGTATATTCCCTTTGATGATCCTCGGATACGACATATTAAAATTGCACCACTGGAAGGTCTGCAGGGCAACTCTAACCACACTGAAAATGCATGTAGTCCCAGTTCTGGTTCTTTGCAAGAGAGAAATCTTGAAGTACAGTACAACAGTGCCTTTGTGGATGCATCAAACTTGTCCAGTTCTGCAAAGGGAGAAAGAACTTCTGACAGCTCCACCCATAGCAACAGATGGTTGGCACCATCCATGCGAGATCAGGAAAACTGTGCCTTGCCGGACCAAAGAGATAATTGTAGAGCAACTAATCACAGCCCCCGTAATGAAGCCAGCACAGAGTACATGAAAGGCAAACTTTCTGTAAGAAATTCACATATGGACAACACCTGTGAGACTGTTACAAAAGTGAAAAAGTTTGAACCTGGAACTGGGATGCGGAGCAAAAAGAGTTCAAAGAAAAAAATGAATGAAACTATATTTTGTTTGGTCTCCATCCCAGTTAAATCAGAATCCAATCTGCCAGATACAGATAGGAACAACAACATAACTCACAGCCCTGATAAGAATAGGTTTGGTAACAATGGGGCTTTGCAAGAACAAAGTCTCTTAAGTATGTCTTCAACAGACTTGGAGTTACAAGCGCTTACAGGAAGCATGACCAATAAAAATGAGTTACAAAAACAAGAGCTGTGGAGACCAGAAGAGTTCAAACAAATGAATGACCTCAGATTTATTCAGCCTACAAAACACAGAGAGCTCAAATATTCTGGCTCCTGGCCAGGTGATCAGTACAAAGACCAGCAGACACAGACCAGCTTCTCTGAAGAACCCGAGAGCCCAGAATTTTTCCATGGTACAAAGCCTGGGAAGCCTGATAGTAGCAAACCGCTATCTCCAAAGCTCCCTGGATGTTCAACATCCACAATGGGGGCAAAACAGACAGGGTCACCTTCTGACGAGAGAGGCTGCAGGCAGAGCAATTACAGTATGAAGGGCCAGACTCATCTCAGCCAGTCAAGCAACAGTGCATTTTCCAGGACTGCTGCCTCAGTCCTTCAGTCTCCCTCCCCAAAAGCCCACCAGAACCAGCCTGTGCCTATCCAAGAGAGGGAAAATGGCCTTCTTTCCAAGGGAGATGTAGTTAAGGGAGAGCCCGGTGGTCCCTGCAACAGTACAGAACCGTTTGGGCAGTTCCTGTTGAAACCTGTAAGTCGCCGTCCCTGGGATGCAATAAGTGAGCTAGAAAGTTTTAACAAGGAGCTGCAAGGGCAGGAGGAGAGCACAAGTAGTGAAGAAGATTTGGAAAGTGCTGCAGCTTCTCTGCAGGCAAGTGCCTTTATGCAGAGGAGGGAGTCCAGAAATGAGAAATCAAGCCAGGAGCCAAAACATGGTGGGAAGTCAGAAATGGTTGTGCCAGAGGTGCCTGTATTTAGGTCAGGAAGGGTTAAAAGTAAGTCTGAAAGTTGGAGCATGGGGACAGAACATGGTAGCGAGCCAAGATGTGTTGGGTCAATAGGCTTATCAAAGCCAGGAGGGAGCAGTAAAGGAGTCAGGCCAGCAGATGAAAGTCTGATAGCAGAAATGGGGATGGGGGAACCCAAGAGCAGAAAAAGCAAACAGCCAGTTCATGAGCGCCCTGTCAAAAGAGTTTTGTCCAGTAGCCCAAGTAGTTCATGTCACAGTAATCCTTTCAATAACCCTGTCTTGCAGGAGATGAGTGAAGACCAAAATTACCTAGACTTTGTTAAACTGAGCAAAGGTGCAACTCCCACAAATGATAGGGTATTAGAGAGAGGGTCAGTAGTACGATTGTCACTAACAAAGAGGAACCAAAGGTGCTCTGAGCCAGATTTGAGGTCAGTGGGACTTGATGTGGCCCCAGAAGCTGGTGCCAACAACTCTGATCACTCTTCAGATGCAAATGCAGTGGAAATCCCTATGAATGAGTCATTGCAGGCAAGAGCTGCAAGAATTTTAGGTATAGATATAGCAGTGGAGTCTCTCCTTCCAGATGACCATGTTGGGGCCCACCCAGGCATTAGCCCTTCAAATGGTGCTCAGGACTTTGAGTCATCAATGATAGGGAGCGCAGTAAGTAACAAAGAAGGAAAAAAAGAAGATTCTTATGAAGGCAGACGAAAGTGTGGCTGGACAGAGAGTGCTCTCTTTGTCAGAGCAGGAGGGCGATCTTTATACCCTGTTGAATGCCAGGCCACTCACCAAGAAGCCAGCGCTAAACCACTGGTAACGGAGCAAGTTCTTGAACATCCTGTGAGTCCCAGCCAAGGTGAGGACCAAAACTTGGTTTGCAAGTCCACTGCTTATCAGCATTCAGAAAAGAGAGTGAGGAGCACCTCAAAAGTGATAGAGACACTTCAAGGCAAGCTCACATCTCCACCCAGCCGGACTGCCATGGATCGCTTGGTGCGAATGAAAGAAGTTGATTCCGTGTCGCGGATGAGACGTCTGAGCATTAAGAGCGCAGACTCGGGAGAGGAGGTGGATGAGGAGAAGCTGTCGAAGGTACCAGAGGAGAGAGGAAGCAAACTGGCAAGCTCAGGGGCTGTTTCCAAGCGTGTTATCTCTCTCAGTGAAAATGGATGTTTAGCTGCAATGGACAAGAAGAAGATCGACAGAGATTTTTCATTAGGTAAGACCCTGTTATGGGAGATCCAGATGGGTTCTTGTTTCTTATGTAATGGGCATGATCAGTTTGCTTAAGCCCACATAATGCTCTCAAATAGTAACAGGCTGTAGGTGGTACTATCCTCATCTGGGAGCCACCCACTTTGCTCTCCTTGTGGAAAAGATGAGTGTTCTCCGGTCCCATTTTAGGAATTGTTACTGTAAAACTCACTTGTGATAGAGAAATTCATTCACAGAGACTGGAGTGCTCTCTAAGGTCTTATCTCTGTCTAATTGTTTCAGGGAATGGCCAGGCTAAAACAGTGGAGTTCAAAGACAGTCACTCTAATGCCAGTGTTTGGGAACATGTGGTGATTTAATCATAGCTGCTCCTTGAATGCCAATTTTTTTCCTTCTCTAGTACTTAAGTAGACACATACTATATCATAGTTCAGAAGAAACTAAAAATAAAAATCTGATGTTCTTCTATGAAGCCTCTGGGAAATGGCTGCATATAGAGGCCTGGAAATTTTCTCTCTCTCATGAATATTTTCCAGATCAGATGCTGAGAATGACTATTAACCCCAGGACAAATGGAAAGTTGACTTTTTCAGTGAACACCTTTTTTTTTTTTTTTTTTTTTTTTTTTTTTTTTTTTTTTTTTTTTTTTTTTTTTTTTTTTTTTTTTTATTTTTTTTTTTTTTTTCTGATCTCTCTAAAACATATAAACTTGTGTAGTCCATATGCATCCCCAAAGTAACATGAGCTATTCCCTCTCTAAAGCATTTTCATTTAGCATTTTATTTAACAACTGAAAATCAGTTGTTGCTATAGACCTGGGTAAAGAGATAAATCTCCCAAGCTACCTGCCTAGTCCCTTAAATAAATTGGAGTGAGCAAACATAGAGTGTGAAAGTTGTTAAATTAGTATTAATCTCCTCCTTCCTTTTTCCATCCTTTCTGTTATAGCTGACACTTTGCCTTGAAATTTGCACAGGTTATTCATTTAACGTTATTGGTAAAAATCTACTCACAGTTTTCCAGTACAGAGGGACTGAAATTAAATTAGGTATTCTTTAAACTGGATTTATGCAATTCCAACTGAAAAGAAATGCTTGTATGAGTTCTAAGCATTGAATCCTGCAGCCTTGAAGCCTTTTTCTCCGTGTTTTTTCTGTATCCTGCATCTTTGTCTCTTTCTGCTCTGAACTGTATTTCTCCAGATCAGATTTTTTAAACAGACTGATTCAGCTTTCTTGTACCCATCAGGTCTAGTATGCCCCACATGCATTTCATATGCTTTCCTCCCTTGGGGTTTCTGCTGGAGTGAAGAAAATAACTGTTGTGGTGACATGACTTCAGGGATGTATCAAAACAGATTGTGTGTGTTTTATTGGAGACTTATTCTGCAGTAAATTAGGTCTAAATTTATCCCTCTTGCTGACAATGCTGGGCTTATATTCTGCAGTGTGTTTCCATTGTAGCAGCTTCCTCACAGCCATAACAGCCCTCCCCATGTTTGGATGGCATGAATGTCCCTTCCTGCTGTGCATGTCCAGTACTGCAGGGTGACTCACATGGGGTGGGCAGGTGGCTTCTTGGCCTCTTCCCATCCAAAGAGACCCTGATTTGTTGCTGGTCCCAAAAGCTTCACCTTACAGTGGGATTTAGATTCATGTTTGTAAAAAGACCTCATGTTGTGTTTTCCACTTGTAAATCTCACTCCAATTTTCACAATAGCTCACTGGTACCATTGAAAGCCCAAAAGAGAATTAATCCTGAGAAACCATTGTATTTGTTGCTTTCAAAGCGCTAATATTCCATTCTAAAAGGTCACTCTATTTGGAGCAAGGTAGGGTGATGTTAGTCTTATAATTGCAGACTGGTCCTGCCACAGAGGCTGCAGCCCTTAGCAGAAACAGGCTTTCACATGTATAATGTAGCTTGGCAGATGAACAGTCATCTCGGAGTAGGAGCCCTGCCAAAACTGAGTACAAGAAGTTCATCTTACCATGCAAATACTGCCATTAGGAGAACATCTCTAAGTGTTCCCAAATGCATTGGATGTCTTTTCTCCTCTGCTGTTTGAAGACATGAGTCTGCTAATCTGGCTTTGTTTCTGTAGAGAGCATTTCAACTGAGTTTAACCAAATGTTGAATAAGCATTTCTGTATCAGTGCTAGAACTCCAATGTCTGTCCCCCTCAAAAGGGTGACCTGGCCTGTCAGTCTGGCACTTTTGTGTCTTTGGTTTAGGTGCTGAGGCCATGGGAAAACTTTCAGGGAATATAGTGAGCCATGCAGAGGCTCCATGTCTTGTGGCCTGGTTTTCTCCCTTCCTCCCCACTGCTGTCCTGCCACTCCCTGAAACAGTGAGCACCTGAAATTTTGTGGGGAATTCTGTTAATGAGAAGGTGTCTGGCCTTAGGAAAATCAGGTTTCTGAAATGCAAATCCATTTTTATTCTTAGGTTGACCTGAACACTTCAAAATTTTATCTTCTAACAGTTTAGATGGCAAAATATTTACAATCAAAAAAATGTTACTACTTTAGAGACATCTTCATACGCCATCAGTGCATTAAGCTTAAAAAGATGCAGCATTATCCTAGAGCACACTAGCTCTCAAAAACTTGATTCCTGTTGATTTTTTGCATTCATGTGGTGTCTGTTTGGAAATACCAGAAAAGGTTTAGCAGAAATCATAGGTGTTGCTGGCACAGACTCCTTTCTTGGCTGGACTAGCAGCTTGAGGAGGGTGGGCAAGAGAAGTGATAAAAGATTCTGCAACACAAATCTACCCACTGGGGCCAAATCCAGAAGTCCTTTTTTAGACAGTTCCCTCTTGACATGAGTGTGGATTTAGGAGATGGACACTTGCACATAGAAGCAAAAATTTCCCAGGAGGATTTTTATACTTTTTGTGTTTGAATGAAGACATTCACTCACATCAACACTAAAGTCCTGAGGATGAATGTTTTACTCCAAAGTGTGATATTTGTGTGTGGAATTATTTTCATGCTCAGCTGTTTAAATGTGAGCGCAGTGGGAGTTCAGCCTACGGGAGGGACGTTTAAGGTTAGCCCAGCTACTCAGGTTGTGTAAGAGCAGAAGCAGCACGCGGCAGCATGGCTGCACTGGTTTGTCCGGGCCCCTCTGCGCCTGCACACTCCTCCCTAGGTAGCCCTGGCTCCTACAGGCCATGACCCTGCACATCAAGGGCAACTCAGGTGTCTGCATGATGGCACTGGGCAGGCAGACCTCACAGGGCAAAGGCTTTTCGTTGCAATCCTGTCCCAGTATGACAAGGGTGAAGGAAAAGGCTCGTGTCTGCTCACCTCATGGCCAACAGTGGGATAAATCCAATTAAGAAATCTGATAGAAGAGTGTCCTCAGGGATTTGGGAAAAGGAAAAACAACCTGTGGCATGTCTTGTGAACTGGCAGGAGGGAGGCTGGAAGTGAAGAAGAGTGTTAGTAAGCCATTCCAGTGCTTTAGTGAATAAGGCTGAAACATGAGCTGCAGTTTTGCAGACTGAAGCAAGACAGACTAACCATAGTGATGCAATGCAGCTGTGCTTTCCTGTTTTCTGTTGAATTAATCTGAAACTAAGGATTTGCAATCAAATGAAAAGACCCTGATGACTGTATGGCATAATCACTCCTTCAGCCAGCCTTACACACCCTGCTAGGATGCTTAAAGCATTTGCTGGTCCTTAGTGTTCAGTACAAGGGGGAGCAAATCTTATGTCTCTTTCTTCCTGTCAAAGCACCTGAAAACTGGAACTAATCACTTAGCATTCAGTGTGCTTGTTCCTACCTACCCAAGGCCTTCCCAAATTCTGTCTTCATGCGTTTGATCAGAGTTGTTCCTCAATTATACTGGTAAAAATACAGCATTTGAGTTAGGAATCTAATATGTATCTTTAATGTAGCAAGCTTTATCACCTTCTCTTTTTTTTTAAAAATAAAAACCAGGGAAAAGATGTGTCATTTCCACAACTAGAAATATTGAATATATTTCACAATACATTATTAATAGTGTTTTCTTGATTTTTTTTTTCCAGATACATATGACCCCACCAAAGTTGAAAAGGTGTGAGATTAATGAAGAGGAGAATAGAGAAATTTTGCTCAACTAAGAATGTTTCACTGATTTTTTTTTCTGGGTGCTTTTTGTTTGATTTTTGTTCTTTAGCATTTGGAAATTGTTTCCTTTGTGATGTTCATGGTGTACTGATAATGCCTTTACCACTGCCACTAGGAATTAGCTATTCATGTCCAAAACTGTTGCACAGACCACAGAAAAATGACTTCTACATTGGAACCATCTGGCTTTGTAGTGTTTAAGACAATACCTACAATTGGCAAAGAGTTTTCATCTGAACTTTATTTCAGTCTTTAGCAAGGATAATGAAATGCATCATGTGAGGTGTTACATTGGTGTAAATGTAAACGTGGGAAATTTGTGAAATTATTTTTAAAAGAATGTGAATCTATAAGCTAAACTTCTGAGTATCTACATTCTAAACTTTGTTTAACTTAAGGGGTTTTTGGCCATAAGTAGAAAGTGCTGCTGCACTGTGTGGGGGAAGGAATGTGAAAGAATGGTAGCAAAGACTGATTGTGAAATTCTCTCTGACTTCGAGAGTTTGAATTTACTTGGATTAAATACTTACTTGCCACCTATAAAGAAGAAAAACAAAACCCAAAATCTTCTAAAAGATGGAAGACTTTTGTAGTACAGTGTACAGAATATGTAATTATAGTAGTTGGCAACTATGTTTCAAACCAATGCAAAGTATACCACTGGCTGTTTTGCACTCAGTATTACCTGTTTTTGTTTTGCTGTTTAGAAATTCTTTATATGAAAGAATAGTAGCTGGTTTAAAATAGCCCATTTTAACAAAGTAACTATATTTCTTGTTACAGAATACTATCTATTTTTCTACGTTGTAAACAATTGCTAACAAGTGGCAAGTATAAAGAAGTATTATTATTATTATTATTATATTTTAAGAAGACTTATTCCTCTGAGTGAAGGTGCCCCAAGCAGATTTCACTTGTATATCTTAATGCACACACCATATTGCCACTTACTCAGTAGTGCTACCTTATTTTGCTCTGAAAAAAAGCCATCTATCTATCTATCTATCTATCTATCTAGCATCTATCCATCTATCTACTACAGGGTTAGTTTCTAATTTTTCCCACTCAACCCTTGGATCATTTTTCTTGGACCCACTTTCTGAAACACACCGAGAACTCTCCAGGCTGGTGCTGCTGCCATTCCATCCCAGGGACACTGATTACCCAAAAGTGGGTTTGGATCTTTGTCCCAGTGTTGCCGAGTGGCTCAGATAAAATACCTGCTCACTTTCATGTATTTGTTCCCTTTTACAGATTATGAGTTTGCATTAGGCCAGTGCACAAAAGTAAACAAAACTGGATTCTTCTTCCCTGAAGTCACCAGGTGTTGCTGGGGAGAAGTTCAGGTGTCTTTTTGATGGCATTTAAATACATGGCTTTAAATATATTTTATCTGCACACACAAATGCATGAATTACAGAATTTATAATAAAGCCTATGCATTCTGCCCTTTGATCCTGAATTAGCCTGCTAAGTATCTTTGTCTTAAAAACCTTTATGTCCATTCCTATAAATTTTTTCTAAGTACCTGTGTACTAATATTTTTCTGATGACTTGTTCATGTACTTTACCAGTCTATTCTATTGGCCTTTTCTGGGTTTTAGCATAATTTTATTTTTAAAAATCTTGTAATTTCTTGAAATATTTTTTCCTATGTCTGTAATTTGGAAAGAACGATTGGGAAAAACACTCATCCTGTGTTTTGGCAGCAAGAGTTTCTTGTCTGTAACACATGATTCTGTTACATATGGACTATTTAAAGCTTGCTTGAAAAGAAAATGTGGTGTATAATTTATTTTATTAACTCTTGCACATGCCGTGTAGCAATACTTGTTGACAAACTGTTCCTACCACTCTTAAGATATTCACCTCTCTTCATCACCATCTAGGACATCCAGGGACTTGTAAATAGCTACAAAACATGTTTCTCCCCACTCTGAATACTGCACATAAAAAACAGTTCTGAAAGAACTTCATCAATTCTCATCTTCCCACTAACCAGTGAAGCTGAGATTCATAGCAATTAATTGACAGTTTTAGTTTAACCTTGATTGCAGAAGAACTGTAAATTGTCCCATATAAGCATTCCTATTACCTTCAGTTCATGTCTACACAGAGCAAAAGTTTTCTGTGCATTGTATTTTCTTCTGTTAGGAATAGGTTTATTGATTCTGCAATGTGTCTGTTTCATCAGTTATGTCAAGTAATTACTTTTCCAAAGCACATATGCATCAAAGATCTTAAAAAAAAAACACAAAAAAACTGTCAGCCTTCTCCAATGGCAGCCAGGCTCATAGCTTTGCAGGATTACACAGCCTGACATCTTGCAGAAAATAAGTCCATGGGATAAAANAGAAAAAGGAAAAGAGGCAACAGTATTGCAGAGGGAGTTTTATTGGCCAAAACCAAAAAATTACAACCTAAGAAGTAGGTAAGTTTTGTTTTGTAGTAGTACATGACTGACCAGTGGATGAAGGAGCAGAGTTAGTACTCTTTTAGAAATGGTGTGTTCCTCTAACAAAACTGATAATTTCATTTGATGCTATGATACAGACAACTGAGAAATTCATAGAGTTTTCTGAACAATTTTGCCTCAGTGTTTCTACAATGTTGATGCCATGGGTCAGCTATTGGAATGGACTGGATTGTACCATAGCTGAACTGCCTTTCCAGAAACCTTTTGTCAGTTTGCAGTAAACAGAGAGCCCCTTTTATTACAGACATGGTTAAAAACCAGTAAATGGCGACTGCCATAAAACTGTCTTGGCAACAGCTGTCACTGGTAATGGCAACAGCAGGAGCTCAGGGCTGAGCGGGTGCAGAGGTGGAGGATGCAGCAGACTGCTTCCAGTCCCTCGTGCAATGCAAGCACAGTGAAAAGTGAGGAACTCTGCCTTTATCCTAGGGGGAAGAGCAGAGCTAGAACCTCAAAAAATACATTTTTGCAACGTGCTGTGTATCTAGCTCGTGCTGCTGCTATGCTGTTGTAGCTGAGGAAGCGGTTGTTGGGGGAAGATACTGGTTTAATGAGCGTTCTCAGAAATTCGTGCAAAAAAACCTCAAACCTGACTGATCCATACGTTTTAAAAAATTTTTAATGGGGATGCTCGGGACCTGGATGGCTAAAGCGGACCTGCCATCTCCTTCCCTTTACCCTACTGAAATCCAGAAGGGACAGTCACATCCTGAGGGGCTGATACCAGTAACAGCGGCTGGTGGCAGGGAGATAAAAACGAATACGACGTTCCAAGCTCCTATCTCCTATATGAGGAAGAGAAGCCACCCGTGAACTCCGGGGCTACTGAACGGCCCGAGCCCCGCGGACGGGGCAGGACGGCCTCTCCCGGTGCGGTAGGGGGAGCGGGAGTGGGATCGGGACTGGGATGGGGAGCGGGAGTGGGATCGGGACTGGGATGCGGAGCGGGACTGGGATGGGGAGCGGGAGTGGGATCGGGACTGGGATGGGGAGTGGGAGTGCGATCGGGACTGGGATGCGGAGCGGGACTGGGATGGGGAGCGGGAGTGCGATCGGGACTGGGATGCGGAGCGGGGACAGGGCGGGCTCTGCCCGGGGGCGACTCATCTGGGGAGGGCAGCGCGCTCCCTCCTGCGGTTCCCGAGCGCCAGCAGGAAGTTGCTTTCCCTGAAAAAACGCTGTTTGCGGGTCCCACGCATCCTCCTTCCTAGAGTCGTCTGGAACTGGACAAAGTGCGGTCTGAGCAGAGCTCTTCCGTGTTTGAAATGCCACCACCACCACAGCTAAAGGAGGAGATGTGAAGGCAAAGGAGGGAAATGCCTCTGAATGACTTGAGACCTCCAGTGACAGAAATGCCCGGTGATACAGTACACCTGACCAAGCGTCACTCATCAGACATTAACTCGAGAAGTCTTCCCCAGGCATAAGAAGGGCTGTTGTGTTTCATATCACTGGTTTGTCTTTGTTGAAAACACCAGCATCATGTATCAAAACCATCCAGTTTCCTTGACTCAGCTCCTGATGTGGGGAGCAAGTCTTTGTACTGAAACATCCAATGACAGCAGGAAGACAGGAAGGACAGCAGTGCTTAAATTGGTAAAGTCACAAAATGAACCTCTCACCCAGAGAAAATAATCAGTCCTATCAAAGCTTATTTAAGGATAAATACTGTAATTTTGCAAAATATTTCTGTTTAGTATCACAAATCAATATAAATATCTAGAGTCAACATTCTGTTGCCTTTGCCACATGGATAGCCAGCTGAAGGTTAGTTTTATAGTGCTTGACCTTCTCTTTGGGTTAAAATGTTGGTATGTTCTTCACTGCCTCTTTTCAAAAGGAAAAGAAAAACAGTGGAGTGATTGGTAGAAATGCAGAAATCAAATGTTCTTGCATTTTAAATGATAAAACTTCTTGCAATTGCTAAGTGGGTCCTTTTGTCCAACTTCAAAATCATACAGGCAAGTATATGTGAGAAATGAATCTTTACTTGGCAGGAGCCTTCAGCTCAAAGAAGATAGACAAAACAGTGCTAAAAAGAATGGAGAGAACTGACAGCTTGTTAGGCTTTTGAATGTTTTGTGTGAAGCTGTCCTTTTGGAAGACATTGGTTTTTTTCTTGGTTGAGGATCAAACAATTCTCTTATTTCCCTTCACTGGCAATAAGCCACAGTGCTGGAGCCCTAATTTACTGGAGTGGGTTTTAATTACAAGTGGAGTCTACAAAATTTAGACTTCTATTCTTCTACATAATCCAAATAAAGGTTCAAGCTGAAGATTTCATGAAATTATGAATATATTACTGAATTAATTAGAAAAATTGGAAAATTGTGATTTCTTATTCAAATTTGCATGAAAATGTTCACTGTCCCTCCCCTGTGGACTAAATGAAACCTGTTTACCATCAATTATATTTTCAAAGAAAAAAAATGTTTCAAACAAAGAAAAAGGGAAATCCTGATATCAATAGCAAAGCCTAAACCACAGTGCTACCTCCCACCCATGCTGAAAAATATGTTTGCAATATGGCATGCAGAGCTGCACAGCAGGGAGAGGGTGAAGGGAACTTAAATCAGAATTGACCGACACATGGCTGAGATTAGAAATAGAAATGAAATTTCCCAGCCAAGAGAAACCACAATAACATACATATTATAAAATGAAGGAGGAACTTTCTACCCCTAACAGCCACAATCTCAGCTTTCTTTAGAGCTCTGGATCAGCAGAGAAAATAATCAGAACCGTTCTGAAAGCCATTCCTGACCTGGAAGGAAAACAAGGAGATATATGTGCTAGATAGTTAATCACTATCCATGTGTCTTTGTCCTTATACAATACAGATAATTCTCCACACTGGCTTTTAAGGTACTGTAGCCTTTCTCCAAAACAAATACTTTGTCATTTCCTTAGTTTTCTTCTCTCCCTAGTCCACAGGCTGATTTAGTGGGATAAAAATAGAGGAAATAGGCATAAGCAATTATAATACTATTTATATGATACCAGAAGATGAACATGTTTTAAGAATTTTCTTTGTATTTTTTTCTGCACAATGCAAATCCTGTTTCTGCGCTTAAAAGTAAACCAGAGGGGTGCTTTTATTCAAGATGAGACATATTCCAAATAAAGATTTTGCATGAGTACACTACTCAGTGATGTTGTTGATGTAGTTATGAGGCAAAATGGAGCATGTGCTCTGATGTTTGCACTGCCTTCAAGAAAGATAAATGTATTGGTGAGTGTTAAAAGGCTGCAGTATTCTCCAGGAGTCTGCTACTTCCAAATCTGGTGTCTATAGAATGAGATTTTTTTTTTCTTTTAAAGAATTTCTTTCCATATCCACATTGTCTCAGACCAGCAGAGACATTAATTTCCAGGTTGTGTTCTGTTTGTTTGCTACCTGTAGGGTGTGTTCTGCCTCTCAAGGGCAGATTCCTCATTTACTGCCTGGCAACCAGCCATGTGCTCCAGCCAAACCTACGCCATCAGAACATTTTCCACTCCATGTCAGTGTTTTCCCCTCCCTTTCCAAAAGTTGATATGGCACTGGGATAGTTTACTTTGGCTGTGTTGCAGTAAAGAATGGCATGTTCTGTATCTGTGCTGATAGGACTTCAATAGAGCTAAGTTATCAAGTTAATACAATTTTTTTTTTCCCTAGGCAAAACTGTAGGTTGCTCATGGCTAGAACATGCAGCTCTGTCTTTTGTGACTGGTTCACAAGCAGGTTAGACTTACTGTCACACTCACATGTATTGCTGTGTAGAAGCAGTGGATTCATCCCAGTACCTCTCACATGTCACCAACAAACCTGTGGAACAAAAGACCCAATAGATCTGGGGAGGCTGAAGATAGAAATAATTTTGGCAGTTTTGCTCTCCTCTTCATCATCCAGCCAACCTGATCTCACTATACTCTCTTCTTCCCCACCTGCTTGAACAATAAAAGTCTCTAGTCCAGCATAATCCCACCTTCCATCCAATTTGAGTCTAGAAACCAATTTTCCTACATTTTTTTCCACTGGTAGGAGAATGCTTGCAGCTCTTTTCATTTGCTGATTTACAGGAGGTTTTGTCTCTACTCTTTACTTTAGTTTTGACCCCTGAATCAATCTAAGCATGTTGTTCATTACTTTTTGCAGATGTACATAATAGAATGGGCCCATTTGCTATTAGCTACAAAAGGCAGAAGTCCTCAGGGTCCAAACTTTCCTGTTACATTGAGACCCAACATTTTGAAGAAAGGGGCTGGCCATATGTTGGGGAACCCACACTCAGCTTCTTAGGAAAGGTGAAAGCATTGGAGCTTTCTGCACTTGCTACCACCCACCCTTTCTGCTGTATCAAGGCTGATGCCAGCCCCTCCAGCAGGTCGACATCTCTCACTTTTGCTCTTGGATGTCACCTAGCCAGCACTCTCATGCCATGCTCCAGGGGACACATGTTCTGCTTGCTGCTACCAGACAGGGTCTGGGGCTGGACAGCACAGTCTGTACCCCTGCCAAGCAAATCTGTTTGCGCTCAGGCCCACCCTGCCTGCAAAGCACATCAGTGGGAAAGTGTAGTGATAGCTAAGGGTGAGCAGAGGCTGCTCAGCTCTCACTCAGAAGTTTCCTTGCTAAGTCAATCAAAAACCCTCCCAGATGCAGGGCTTCCCTGCTTCCCTTCACCCCCTCTCCAGCACTAACTGGGAGAGCCACAAGCTCACTCGCCCTTTGCCACTCTAGCCCACACATGCCTGACCCTTGATAATTGGGTAAGACCCTCAGCTCTTATCTTACTCTACACACA